ACCGAGAGAAAAGGAAGAACCGGTGGTTTGAGAAGACCACAAAAACCCCGAGGTGAGGCGAGGCGAGGCTCGCCTCAAGAAAAGCCTACGCCGAGGCGAGGCGAGGCTCGCCTCAAGAAAAGCCTACGCCGAGGCGAGGCTGAGGATCAAGGGCTAGTTCACTAAGAAGGGTCCAGTCCTCGAAAGGGAGGAGGACGAAAGCATCGCCGTCAACGTCCACGGAATCAGGGCAGAAGCGGAGTATGGGGTCGTACCCACATTTTCGTGTGTGCTCATCAATTAAACTTAAAGTTAATACCACAAAAAACTCCAAATTGGTACACTTTTGACAAATTTATCAAACACTAATTTTTTAACCATGAAAAATCCCAAACTGGTACATCTGTCATAAATTTATCCAAAACTAATTTTTTTACTACAAAAAACCCTAAATTGGTACACTTGTGACAAATTTTCTAAAAACTAATTTTTTGACAATCAAAAACCCTAAACTGATACATCTATGAAAAATTTACCCTCCGTTAGCTTCCGTCAAATTTTACCGTTAAATTTGTTAACTTGGATGGCACATGGTGACGTGATATGGTGATGTGGCAAGTTCATGTGGAAATCCATAGGATAAATACCACGAAAATCCCCAAATAGGTTAACTAACGAAGGATAAATTTGTCACATGATTACTAGTTTTGAGTTTTTGGTGGTCAAAAAATTAATTTGAGATAAATTTATCACATGTGTATCAGTTTAGGGTTTTTTATGGTCAAAAAATTAATTTGGGGTAAAATGGTCACAGGCGTATCGGTTTGGAATTTTTCGTGATAAAAAAATTAGTTTTGGATAAATTTATTATAATTGTACCAATTTGAAGTTTTTCGTGTTATTTTTTTTATCAAATTTGTTTTTCGTGGTATTAACCCTAAACTTAACAGGGCATGTGAGGTTGTAATCGTCGGTGCAAGTTCAATTCCTCGTGTGAGTTTGTCCTCACCTCTTCTTTTTTTCCCAGGAAACAAAAAGTTATAAAAATGGCACTAGTTGTTCGCATACTTTTTGAAAATATTCACTTTAGTTCTTGAACTTTTGTCTGAATTTGTCCTTTTGTTATAATATATAAACTAGGGGTGTGCAACCGGACCGGGTTTACCCAGAAACCGGACCGGCCCACTCGAAAAACAGGTCTGGGAACCGGTTCTGGTTAAAACCGGCCCGGGAACCGGTTCCATTTTTTTGGAACCGGTTAGAACCGGTCCGGTTTCCGGTTCCGAGTAAAAATCGACCCGGACCGGTTTTAGAACCGGTTTTAAGATAATATAAAAAAAAACAAAAAAAACCCTAGATCTAGATCACGATCACTGTTTCAGTTCTCTCTTCGCCACTCCTCTGTCTCGATTCTCTCTTTGTCTCGGTTCTATCTTCACCGATCGCCGCAAGAACGCAATTACGCAACCGAGGAGGCTCCTTGTTCACTTCACCCATCCGGCTCTCGCTGATCCGTGAGTCCTTCGTTCCTTCAGTCTCTCTTCTTCGTCTTTGTTGCAAGGTCAGATGGTTTCGAGCTCGAGCTTCGAATCTGTTCTAGTGTTGGGGAAGTGTTCGAGTTCGAGTTTGAGGTTTTGCGTTCGAGTTTTAGGGTTCTAGTGTTGGGGAAGTGTTCGAGTTCGAGTTTGAGGTTTTGCGTTCGAGTTTTAGGGGTTTTTCGCCGTGGGCTTGGGTTGGTGTAGAAGATTCTATAAGTTTTGATGATCAGTGAAGGACTTGAAGGAGTAGACGCCATCTGATCTTGCGGAATCCGGCTTGTCTGAGTTTTTTTTTTTTTGAAACTTTTATCTCTTGCTTCTTGGACTTCTGAGTTTGTTTAATGGAAGAATGTAAGCATTGGTTGCGTACCTGACTTCAGTGGTTGGCCTCAACTTGAAACTCTATATGTTGCAAGCTCATTATACTCGAAACTGGTTATTATGATCTTGTCGTCATCCTTTGGATCATTCATGCAAGATCGCCCGCTTTAGAGTTTAGATCAGTGAAAGCTTCTCTCAAATTTTTGGAATTGTCGTAGTTGGTTTGTGGGATTAGCTTCGTGGTGTCAGTGCGCGTGCGTCTCTGTGTGCTCATGTTGGCATTTGTGTTCCCTCTTTTCCTTCAATTTGGTCAATTCTTGATTTGCTGCAGTTGGTTTACTGATTCTGACATGGAATTCTAGTGCTTGTTGTTGCTTCTTGCTCGATTAGTCCGACTGAGCTCTACAGTTTCTTTTTTGTGGTAAAGATTAGGTCCAAGAACTGGGTGTGTTCACATAGTAATGACTTTCAGTGAGATGGTTAATTCTGGCAAGAAATATTTTGTTTCTACATTTTGTTCTTTGTATGCTCAAAAGCTCACAGATCGACCATGTGATGCTAATCCAAACCCGATTGGTTGCTGAAATCAACCCCCTTTGTTGTGTTGTATTTGATTATATCAGGTTCTGATCTCTAATGCATGGATTGAATTTGTTGTGGCTAAGTCTGAAACTCTCTGGAATTCATATCTGTAGTTAAAAATGCATGAAAAGCTTCAAATATGTTGGTACAAGTATCGAGTTCATGTTTGGTTAGCTTGGTCGCATTCCTCTCCCTGTTAGTTTGGTGAGTGTTTGGTGTGCAACAAGTGTGACCTTTAGGCTTTCAGTTTACAAGTTCTTTTGTTTGGTTGTGCAACAATCTTTTGGCTCTTACTTAAATTTGTTTTCAGTAAAATCCTGACATTGTTGTATATCAGATTCTGATGTGTGGATCGGAGCCTTCGGATTTTTGGAAACAGAAGTGAGGAGCTCTCATCATGGCGCAAAATAAAGAGCTAAACATGTTGAACAGATTCCTAGAAATGTGACTCTTCAAGATTTATGCGATTGAACTATGTCTTGCCACATAGTGCTTTTGGATTGTAATTTTCATGGATTGTAATTTCAATTGCCCATTTTAGGGATTGTTACTTTTGGTAGATAGTGGTTTTATTATTCATCTTTTATTCTGAATCGTTTCATTGCTACATATATTATTTTGCTAGAAAAAAAATGAAACCAGAAAAAGGAACAAAAAAAAACTGGTTTTTGGGTAGACCCTGAAACCAGACCGAAAAAACAGGGTCGGTTCCAAAATAGGGTCCAAGGAAAACAGGGTCGGTTTCAGATTCCAAAAATTAAGAACCGATTATAACAGGGTTGGTTTCAGGTTTGGACCCAATCCACTCTGAAATCGATCACCCCTAATATAAACGGAGATGCCAACGTCGAGTGTAGCTCCACGTCATCTCCAAGTGGATAAATAGTTATTATATGAACTTACTGTTGCTGATCGGATCAAATAGCAACAAATTGAAAACATCTCGAACTCGAGGAGAGAAAGAGGTGATGACCAAATTTTCGAGAAGGTACAAAAAAAGTCATAAATCTATTGCATTGATATTTATTCATTCCTAAATTTTTCAGTTGGACCAATTTAATCTTAAACCTTTTCGTATTGGTACCAATTCAGCCAATTCCACCAATTTAGGCCGGAAATCGCTGACGTGGACGCCAGCCATCTTAAGTGGCATGACTGACACTAACATGGACATTTGTTATATTTTTTTAATAATTTTTATTTTTTACTTTTTTTTCCTTTCCCTTTTCTTTTTGCCGGTGACGGGGCGGCAAGGGGGTCTTCGACTAGTTCATGGATTAAGGTCCCCCTTATTTGAAGGGCAAATATGGAGATATTTTCATTGTTCAATTCATTTCAGATATTTCCAAGAAACTCATTAAAAGAAAGCATTATATAAGTAGGACTAAAGCATCCAACAATACAAGAAATGTATAGGGTTAATACCATAACAAACCCCAAACTGGTACACTTGTGACAATTTTATCCTAAACTAATTTTTTTACCACAAAAAATCCCAAACTGGTACACCTATAACAAATTTACCTCAAACTAATATTTTGACCACTAAAACCCCAAATTGGTACATTTGTGACAAATGTACTCTTTGTTAGTTTTCCTTAAATTGAATTAATACAAAAAAAAAATCACAAACTGTTACACCTGTGACAAACGGAGGGTAAAACATAAAACTGGCATATCAGTTAACTCTCGTGTGTCATTTAACAAAATAATTTGATAGTAAAATTTGACAATAAAATTTAACAGAAACAAACCGAGGGTCAATTTATCATAGGTATATTAGTTTGGGGTTTTTGGTGGTCAAAATTTTAGTTTGGGGTAAAATTGTCACAGGTGTACTAGTTTGGAGTTTTTCATAGTATTAACCCAAATGTATACTGGAGAATCATTGCTCAAACACCAAGACCTTTCTGCAGTATACATCTGAATTTCTCAGTGATTACAAGATTCCAGGAGTGGTCAGAGCATGCCTTGATTCTAAGCCATGAGGTTATCATCCTTTTCATTTATCCTTTGATGTAAATAACCAAGAAAACTTGCCCGGTTCTTGTCTGAATCTGTAAGATCGTTTCTAGAACAGAACACATCTCTGAGTCGACTTCATTGACTTCTATTCTGGGGACAGCAGTGACAACTTCGCTAGGTAAGCCGGTCTGTGTTACCAATCTGTCCCATGTCCAGTCATCAAGTTGAGTGATTCAAGACGCGAGAGATGCTTCCTCTTCTACTTGGGATTTCTTTTAAGACAATAGGTACACAAAAACATTTGTAAATTGAATTGAGAAGCACACGAACTGTCTTTTGATTCACACGAACGAAATCATATGGCCTCCTCAGTTACTGCAAGCACCACTAGAGTCACTTAATTGGCAATTGGCATTTGGCATGACATACTGCCTGAGGAAGATGTCTGAAAGAACAGGACTACCATATTTCTTGGTGCATTTTCATAATCTTGACAATTAAGTTAATGTGTATGTAAACGAGCTAACAAGTAACAACCTGTCAATTTACGGGCAGTCATCAAATTTGTACACTGAATCAGGAAATGCAGAGAAAAAAAGAAGTTATATCGGGAAATACATGAGTCAAGCTAGATATCCTCTATGTTTCAGTACCTTCTTCGATAAAAGATTTACATAACTGAGTTACTAATGAAGGAGCTTGGTTTAAAAGCAACTGAATTCTGTTGAATATGCTTTAACCTTGTAAACAAAGAATTTTGATAGCATCTAGAACATGATGAATTGCCAACGCAATCGCCAACTCACACGGAATCCTCCAAGGAAATATCGGTTGGAACCTCGTATCCAAATACCATGGAGTAGTCATCCACCTCATCAGAAGAGAATTTGGGTATCCTCCAGCTTTTGGCTACGTCGGAGTCAAGGCCATTAGTCAGGAGCTCTAACACCTAGTTCACGAGATTATTCATTCAGACAGTGCAAACTTTGTATAGTGACATGCTTTTCCCTAAGCTATAAGGTTTCATGTACCTCACTCATCGTCGGTCGCCATATTGAAGATTGTCTCACACAATAGGAAGCAGTTAATACCACTCTGCGCAATTGACCAGAGTCATACTTTCCCTCCATTTTTGGGTCTGCCAGTTCGGCAATGTTTCCAGATTCCATGAGAGGCATTGCCTACAATGTTAATTAGCTAAACAGTTACAGATGAGAGTGAAAAGGAAAATGAGGAATTAATTATTTTTCTTATCGTTGACATTGAATCACTGCAACGGCCTCTAGGACTGACAGAAATGCAAAAAAGAAGATGATGTACCCAGAGGAGAATGTTCTGCTTTGATGAATTGACAGGCCTACGGCCGGTCACTATTTCCAACAGCAGCACTCCAAATGCAAACACATCTGTCTTTTCGTCCACAATCCCGTGCATGAAATACTCCGGTGCAAGATAACCAAAAGTGCCCTCGATTGGAATCACGGCATGATGAGTCCACTTGTTTGGTAGCCATTTTGCTAGACCGAAGTCGGTAATCTACAGAGAGAACACTAAGTTTGTTCAGAATGGTTGAAAAATTGCTATGCAGCTTGAAGCTGCGAAAATATAATCATTTTCTACCTGTGGTTCGTAGTCAGGGCCGAGAAGGATATTTGACGCTTTTATATCTCGATGTATAATGCGATGCTTGCAGCATTTGTGAAGATAGTGCAAACCTCTAGCAATGCCCACGGCAATCCTGTATCGTATGGGCCACTCAAGTGACTTGTTTGCTTTGCCTGAAAGAGAGAGAACTATAGTACCACTGCAATATGGAATTTTTCAACTAAAAGAAGAACTGTACAACTTTATGAACGATACTTTTGGACAAATAATTCATAGTCTTGCTTACCCTTATCTTTTACTTTGGTTTTTTCCTTCTTTCTTATCTTTCTCAGCTTCTTAACTATGATGTTGATAAGGCTTGATCATCCTCTTGCTCTCTACAGAATGATTAAAGTTTCGGACTTTTTTTCGGCAATTTATGGGCATGACAGTTACTTCGGTCAAGAGAAGTGATACTCACCATGTAACGCAGAAGCTAAATTTCCATTCTCAGAGAAGTTGAAAACCAGGTAGAGCCCATTTTCAATACAGTAACCAACTAAGCTGGCGGTATTGGGATGACTGACATGTCCTATTACGCCCAATTCCATCAGAAACACTCTTTCTTTGTTTTCATCATTGTTGTCTTTGGCCAACCTCTTCACTGCTATTACCTGTCCATTAGAAAGATCGCCTCGGTATACTTCTGAAAATCCACCTTGTCCCACCATATAATCTGCAGAATTAATCGATAATGGAAATAAAAAAATGATACACACATTTCCAATCTTATATGGTGTCATTTTTCGATCATGTATATCTTCATTGTTTAGCTAACACGCGTACATGGAAAAAATCCATGCTACTTGAAAGATTGAGTGTTTTGTCACTTCCAGCTTTGGGAGTTTACCAGGATGGAAATTATTTGTAGCATCCAGGATTTCCTCGTGACTGAAGCACCGCAGCGGAGGCTGGTGGCTCTCTGTTTTAGTATTTCCTTTTCTAAATGGCGAAATAAATAAAGAGTATATCAATTTGCAGAGAGATGCACATTTCCTTCTGTTTGATTGTGCCTTGATATTTTGAGGCCAAGGAGGTGTTGCTGCCACAATAGAGTCTTGGAAGCTAGAGGTATATTCATCTGTGGTTGTCCAAGAATCCTTTTCAAGATCATCAAGAACTGTTCTTGGTGAAAAGCTTTTACTCTTTGTTTCTAGATCAGTAAACTTAACGTGGGATCGTTCTCTGCCACCGCAGATTGTCTGGTTCAGCCATGTTGAACTTAGTTGATGAGTTTTAACTGTCAGAAGCAAGCACATAGATATTTTCAGCTGACAATAACTTCCATAACATTACAATTTATAGATTTTACTAGCACCAACCTTTTGATTGCTTGGGAGGTATATATGTCTGTTCTTTCATGGTACATTTCCCCACCGAGATGACTGCACAGTTTTGAGGTGCATTCTCAAAACAATACCTTAGAATCCCGTGTGAGTATCTGATTTGAATTTGAAGAAAAAGGAAAAGGAATCAGAAATTACAGGTCGTAAAGTAGATTTTCGCACAAAAATTGTTACCTATCAGATTCTCCTCTCGATCCCCGAAGAAGGAGATATTCTGCTGAAATAGATTTCGCTTCTTTAACTAGACCTCCCCCAACACTTGTGCTGAATCCTACTCTAGCTTCCAAGTTTATCTGAAAGTAAAAGGACAATGAGCTCTGAGAAACAGAGACTCAAAATCAATTAATCTGATGCAGTTCCATAATGAATTTCAAGATAGTGCACCTGGTTTGACTGGCAGGTCTTAGCGAATTCACCTAGCAGAGATATAACATTTGCTTTTGCTCTGCGGATTTTCGACAGACACTTCTGGGTAATTTGTCCCTTCTTCGTGTATCCACCGACTGTTGTTTACAAGGAAGGGAATAGATATCATTAGATCAAAGATCACCGGTTTAGGACCTGCATTTGTCAGTAGGTAAACGGAAGCACCAACGTCCTGTTGGCAATAGCAGCACGCATATTTTCTCAACTATTAACATATTCTACTCAAAAGAACAACTGTAGATGGTAAACTGACCCAGGACATGGAGGGCAACAATGTTGTCACGAGGACGAGCTAAAGCAGTGACTGCCCATGAGAGAAGATCTCTGCTTTCAGATGGGTCTGAAGAGATGCCTACTAGTATGTTAGCAGGACTAAAAGGCCTCATTTTTTTTTGCTGACAAGAGGAATCTGCGGAGGGACTTCACTTGCTCATGTCAGTATCTTGGCCATAGGGAGCACTCAAAACCAAGCTTATAAATGAGTGGGAAATCACTAGAAAATGATTGAGGTCAGTGAGAGAGGATACCACCCCAGCTCCCTCATTCCACCAGTCTTGTTTAAGAAGCATAAAAAAAACCTCTTTTGCAGTGTCAGACAGTTGAAAAATGTGATCTCTCTTTCTCTCTCATGGGATCCACAGTACAGTGAAAAAGAACAAAGATTATATCCAACAAATTCAGTCTCCGCAGCGCTATCTCTTTCTTATGGTGGAATCCTAGCTTTCTGGGGATATACAATTAAGTGCAACGGTTGGGTGCTTTGGGGGATAAGCAAAGGTGGGTTGGCGGGATGCATATGATTTGTCTTGCAGTGGAAGCCAAAAGGAAGGCCTCGAGCCCTCCAAAAGGGGCCAGATAAAGGTACAGTTATTGGGGTTTGGTGGAAGAGGGGGGTCTGTGAAGAGCCGGCCAGTCTCCGAAGGGCTCTTCACTCCATGATGAGTGGGGGAGACTTGGAGATGTCATCTACTCACTGTTTTCTTGCCACTTCAGTTATGTGCATGCGACAAAACATCATCCTTACCATGATTGTAGACAACACTTTCAAGTTCGAGTTCGAGATCGAGGGACAGTGCGTATGGCTTCAAGGTTCTCCCAACCACACGTGCTAATGATATATGTCCTCATGAAATGCTGGTGAGTTTGCCCTTCTCTTTTATCGTTGGAATCATATCTCAGCCGCTGGAAAAAAAATTATGGGGATGAACAAACAGGTTGTTTCAATATCGGGTTTGGAGGCAAGCATGATATGGCACTAAACGGAGAGATGTTGGTGTTGATATTTATCTTGCGGCTCGTTCACTTTGGCATTTGTTAAATTTGAAGCATTTGAAATGTTCACAAAATGCAAACGTCAACACGTACACTTTTTACTTTAGTTAATATTTTAAATTTGGCAAGAGTAAATTTTTACTTTCAGCTAAGTTTAAACAAACAACCCCTTCGGCTTGGTTTGGCCACACCAAGCTGGTTCTACTTGCATTGCGAGCGTGACTGATGATTCCATTTGATAATCCCCGTTCTCATTCGAGGAACACTTTGCAATGTGATGTACTATTACCTCCCTCATATCTGTCTTGCCACCAGTCGAACAATATGGATTCTATGCACTGACACATGCCTGAGCTACATTCTGTATGGCTTTATGAGTCATTTGCTGTAGTCTGTCTCTCTCTCCAGCAGATTCGAAGAATAAGTAGAAGAGTAACTTTGTTTGCACGTCGTTAAAATAGCACTTGAATATTGTGAACATGGAGAGAAAAAAGGGTCAAAGAAAAAGGCAATGTCGTAAGTGTGACCTATTTCCAAACATTTCATCCATACTCAAAAGGAAGAAAAGAACTACCAATAAGCAAAGTAAGATCAATTAGACAATACCAATATCTTCATTGCTACCAAAATTGGACACACGGCTGACCATTTTTTTTTTTTTTTGGATGGCAGCGGAAATTTCTAGCAAATAACAATATTCCTAACACATTGCTCTTGGGTTCAATTTCCATTAAAGCGAGTAACTAGGAAACTCCTGCCTTGCACTTCTCATATTACTGGATACAATTACGAACAATGTACAGAATCAAGACAACTCGACAATGTCAGGCCTCTTTTTCGGTTGCTTTCTTGACCGTTCCCTTCCGATTGATCCGTGCGAATCTTCTTTGCCATTTTCAGATCTCCCGTGCTTTACGGGAACGCCTGCTTGGGTAGTACCACAATCGTCATCACCATCCTCGCTGCCATCATCACTGTCATCATCGTCGTCATCGGTAGTATCGTCTGAATCCATTTCACCAAAGCTGGCAGCTAAAGGATTCAGAGGATGATGACTTGCAACTGCAGATTCTGCAGCAGCTACTGCCTCGGGGGTATGAAGATCGGCAATCCCCAGCATTAAGTCCTGTTTTTGTAAAGGTGAAAAGCATCAGGTGACCATTCCATAACCCAAAATTACACCAAGGAAGGTCATAGAGCAGCGGAAAAATACCATTTCTATTATTTCTGACTCATTCCCATCAAGAACTTCAATGTCATATCTTTTGGGATTGTCCTACACAAACCAAGAATTGCTCACGGTAGGTCATGACGAGACAAGCAATTGTGCTGAAAAAAGCAACGTCACAGAGGACCAAGATGATTTCACAAACCTTGACTTCAACCTGCAGTTTTTTATTAGCCTCAGACATGACTCCAAGAAAATCTTTCACTTTTCCAAGTACTGAAGCAAAGCCCAAAAGACAACAATTATTAATTTTTCCCCTTTTTGGGAATAGAAAATCCAATTAAAAGCTTAAGCTGCTAGGTGGAGCAAGGATACAAGTATACATGGCACATACCCCATAGACAAGCGATTTGTATACTTCAATAGGAAACAAACAAGAGAATATGCTACTAAGACCAAGCTTACACATTACACAACCATATCAAATCAATCATAATATTTTGGAAGTCCTCTCTCAGCTGAAATCTCCACTGAAGCCCATAAATCCATTATTCTGAAAGGAATTAATTTGACTAAACAACCATTGGCATAAATTATGAAGAAAAGCATAAAACATGCATTATCCTGATCGCAAAATTAGACAGGCAAATTCAATACCATGGCTAGAAGGAACTGAACTTGTTAATGGCCTTCCATTGGGGGGCGGTTGCTTTCTTTTAGAGTCTGAATCCTTTTCTTTACATATAAACAAGGTGGACTCTGCACATTAAAACACATAACAAAGAAAATAAAAAGAATGGCGCCATTAGACACACCTATTTGACCCATGCGAACAGAAGCCATTGTTACAACCCAAAGATCAAGGTAAAAGCCATACCTATCAATGAGGAAGAGAGACTCTTATTCTCTAATTTCAAAAGCTCTTGACTTGTAGTCTCCATCTCTGCTGGCTATGTAGAAGTACTTTGGCAAAAAGTGAAGTTGAGGGATTGAAGTTGTCACTGAATGTAGAACAGGATCAGATCAAAATTGTTTGGAGAAAGAAGGTACTTAATAGTCTCCTAACTTATAAAGCCTTGGTGAATAAACAATTCGCAGCAAGAATTAACAAAAGCTTGTCCTAGTTGCCTATGATGTCAATCACGTTTCACAAATAATACCGCAAGGACCAAAAACCAATCACGCAAATACAACTCATCCTAATAGAGAACAATTCAAACTTGAAAGTTAACCCACCACTCTTCTTTCAAGTGTCTCGTCTTCACTCCTCTTCGAACCAAGGCTTAGTATTTCATGTGAACACCCAAACCCCATTACTTTCAGCCAAAAAAAAAAGTCTTTGACAGCATTCTGGCAATCAAATGTACATCATCCTAGTCTCACAAATAAATGGCAGAGCAAAATGAACTTCACAGACAGCTGATTCAACCCTGTACTCAAGACAAAAGCCCCTGAACCCTGCCCATAGATCATAGACAGCTAATAATAAGTACACCGCCATCAACTCTTCAGCACCTAAACTAACTAAACAAAGACGGCTAAAAAGAACAAAAACAAAAAGGGTTCCCACAATGTTGTTTTACAATGAACACAACACAACATGGGTCCGAATCGACATCAGTAAGGATCACCCATGACTTGACTCACTAGAAGTCAAGAGCATGCACCAAAAAGAAAGAACCCAAGCTAGTGCAAAACCCAAACTTTTCCATTCCTTCAAGGCATAACTCACCCTTTGCAACTGGAAATTCCTACTATGCACAACTGGGTTGTCAAAAAACAAAAAGGGAATCTAGACAAGGCGATTTCTTGGCAATCAAAAGGGGTGAAACAAAAGAAAAAGTTAAAACTAGAGAGAGAGAGAGAGAGAACCTGTCTATGTCTTTGCAGCTAGCGCTCGGTGCCCAGCGAGGTTTTGGGCGTCTGAGAGAGGTGGACGGTGAAGATGGTGATATTCGGGTTGGACCGGGTTACGGTTAGGGTCGGCCCATTATTCCTCCTTTGTCATTGTTGTATGCGGGAGCTCAATATTTGGACCTTATCACAGAAGATGCTGCAATTGCATAGCATGCCCTTTCATTCGTTTCGCGAAAAATAAATAATTTAAAAAATATTTTTTAAAAAATAATTACTTATAATATTTAGAAGAATTAGTCAATAAAAAATATTTTCATCTTCGATGACAATCTATGCATAACTATTTTCGTGGGCGATGAGAAAATTTTCTGTTCATTTCTTTTTGCAAGCGATATAAGCAATTATTTTTTTAAAGATGTTTTCCAAATCATTCATTTTCCATGAAATGAATGCACTCTTAGTGTAGTAATTTTATAGACTAGTCTTAAAACAACTTTAAATTTTACGGACCAACCTTAATGTCACTGACCAGGTAGCAGCTTGTCATACCGTCCAATGAGGTGAAACATTCTCGACATAAGGGCATTAGAGAGCAAATTACAGGCTCTCCCTAGAAACATTTTGTTAATTTATTGTCGGAATAATGTCATGGGTCGTCCTTGAATTTTTATTCGGTGTTTGATGTGAGTTCCTAAATCATGTTTTTTTTCCTGTTAACTCTCTAAACTTTTTGAATTGGGTTTAGTGTTTTCCGTTCGTTAAATAGACAAAATGGAATTGCTGATGCGCTGATAACACACCCATTTAATGTTCCAGTTGGCATCCCACGTGTCTAATTTGACGGTCGAGATGCTTTGACTCCCTCCATTGTAGGGACCAACAAGAGGGATTGGCCTACAAAATGCTGAGTTGGCAGTCCCCATAAGCTAAAAAGCTCTTGATTTGGCATTTAATCTTACGAAAAAGAGAGCGGATTTTGAAAAGTTCAAGGACAAAACTAAATAAAGAGAGTTAGGGATAACATCGAACACCGATAAAAGGTTGGGGGTTTACCCATTACTTATAACCTATTGGGAGCTTCTCTTCAAATGAAAACAAAAGTATCTGCATAAATCTGAGTTAACGTACTTTATTGTTTTCCATGGGAAAAATGATATAAACAGTCCCTGAACTTTAACCTAATATGCAATTTGCTCCATAAACTTTTAATTTATTCAATGTAATTCTTGAACTTTAGCCTAATGTTCAATGTAATTCTTGAACTTTAGCCGATCCCTAAATTTTTAATTTGTTCAATGTGATCCCTAGACTTTTGGTACATATTTAATTTAGTCTATGAACTATATGAAAAGTTTATGGATCACATTGAACAAATTAAACATGTATCAAAAGTCCAGGGACCACATTAAACAAATTAAAAGTTTATGGATCACATTGAACGTTATACTAAAGTTGAGGGATTACATTGAATAAATTAAAAGTTTATGGAGCAAATTGCACAGTAGTCTAAAAGTTCAGGGACTATTTGTGTCATTATCCCTTTCTCATATTTCCTTGACAAATCCACCACACTGGACCATGTGCTATTTCTCAAAGTCCCAAGACTTGTAGACATTCATTCCTTATCTTATAACCATGGAACGGACCTTGTTCGCTTAAAATACTCATCTCTCTTCCACCTCCATATGCCTCCAAGGCATATGCGACACCCTTGTTATATCGACTCTCGATGATCTGGACTACAGAGTCTCAAAATTTGTTAACGTCTTACCTTAAAGAAGACAAAAACCATTATTCTCCATAATATTAGTAATCATAGATAAACCTATTAGAGCTTATGTCACATCCCGGAACCAACAAGAAAAGGGGATATAACATGGCCGTCCTTCTTCCTGAAGAATGCAACCTCAAACTATACAAAAAACAATCAACTCCCAAAAGTTCCTATCAAAAGTGCTCTGGTACCATTAGCCGTTAACTAAGGAACCTGGAAAGATTGAAAGAAATGAGGTGAGCAATAATGTCACGCCCCGAACCCCATCGGGCACGCGACACCCTTACCTGGTCGATTTATGCGACGTCCCAGGAATATCACCGACCTCAAATCGCTATCAGAGATTTATAACCACAGCGGATACTATCGATTAATCCCTGACAAATAAAACTGGGGAGAATATTCAGGGAGAATAAACATTTTTCTTCTCATTACCAACTTATAGAATATTCACAACTTACAACCTTCATTTACAAAAGCACACCTTACTATCCACCTCCGATAACAAAAAGGACTAAATGACCTGGTATCCTAACTTCCAAAAATGGTACGCCTCAAAAGCTCTGATTAGACCCCTGCACTAATCCCTACGGCCCTTACTCGGCGTCCACTCTGACTCACTGTCCTCGGCATCACCACCTGAATCCTCCTCAGCTGTCTGATCACCCGACGGTTCCGAGTCGGCCTCAATATGCTCATGGCTCAGGCGGGGGCTCTGAAATGTTTGGTTGAAACAACCGTGAGAACACTTCTCAGCAAGTTCACCCCTAAACCTCACATAGGCTATTACGTACCTCCAGACAATTTCACAAAACACAATCACACACTTACACCACATAATCACATAGCAGGCACATCAATGCAATCGCAAGCATGCACAATTCTCATGTCATGCACTCGTTCCGTTCTCATCATGTCTCATCCACATTCCTCGCTAGTGACCCGCGTACACGTACACGCCTCAGGTACACTGCGACCTCTTTTCACATCATTTCCGGTCCGCGTAAACGTACACGCCTCAGGCCAACATCTACCACCTACTGCGCAACCCGCGTAGAAGTTCACGCCTCAGGCTGGCAGTCTTCCGGTAATACCGGGCATCGTCCCGTGTAAACGTACACGCCTCAGGACGGCACAATTTTCCACAATCACACGTCATGCCAAATTTCCTTCTCACACAGGCACATGCTCAACATGTATTTACCAAACACAACTGGCCAATCACACGTGGCCCGTGCACGCATTAATTATACACAATCCATGCTCACTCAGCATTCAACACGGCCAATTTTAATAATTAAAATAATCTGGCCCACACGTGCACCCAACAAACATAATTAACTCAACCAATCGCACAATTACACATTTAATTCCACCATCCCAACTCAATTATATTTCAAACGCACAATAAACACAGAAATTGCTATTTTTCTCTAACCAAACGACGTCAAATCGATTTCGGTCCTTCACGGGACTTTCTCGCCATAAATTCTCAGTTCTAAAAATCCAACTTGCGTCCTGATCAGCCCATCACGGCCCCATGAACAGTAGACCACAGCCACTGCTATTTTCTAATTTCCAATAAATAATGCCCAAATTAAATCCCAAGGCCCGCCATAAAATTTCTACTCCTAATTCATGCAATTCCGCACCTAACTTTTACCAGATTTCGTCCAAAAATCGCCCGTCGATACCCGACGTCCTAAGTTGGGTTTAGAGCGCGACTTACCCTCGTTCTAGACTATCGCGGCTAGAACGGAAAGCGGCGGTACTTAATCGGGAACGGCAGCGACGACGTACGGCTCCTGGGTGGCGACGATCGGCTTGGGTGGCGACGGCGCGGCTTGGGCGGTGGCCGGTGGGGCTCACGGCCAAAAGGGAAAACCGAAAAGGGAGAGAGAGAGAACGGCGGGATGAGGGTGGCGGTGGCGCGGCACGGCGAGCGGACGGCGGCTTGTGAGCGTGACCGGCGATCGGCGGTCCGGGCGGCGGCTTGGGCGGCGATCGGCAAAGAGAGAGAGAGAGAGAGAGAGAGAGAGAGAGAGAGAGAGAGAGAGAGAGAGAGAGAGTATACGGTGGACGGGGAGGGGGTTCACGGCAATGGGGGAAAATTTACGATGGAGAGAGGAGAAAGAAGAGAGAGAGGAGAGAGAAAGAGGGTCAAGGGCTAAATAGGGCCAATTTTGACCAATCTTGGCAATTTACCAAAATACCTCTCTCTAATCTTTTTAATCCGACGGCCGAGATTCGATCCAATCTAAAAATCAACGGTTAGGATTGAATCTTACTTAAAAATATCCAAGGGTAATTATGCCTTTTCCAACTTTGGGCCTAAGATGACCAAAATACCCTTGTCCAACAAAACTAATCATTTATTAACTCTTAGGGGCATTTTGGTCACTTTCTCCGTTTCTCATCGAAATCAAGTTTTTCTGAAGGATTCGGGCGCAACAAAAATTACACGCTACAACCGCAACGTCGTCCTAACGTCCCGTTGTGACTTCCAAATTTTCCGGTGTCCGATTTGGGCTGAATTAAATAATTCAATTCTATTAAACGTAACTCGAGCGTTTCTCAAACTAACGGGCGGCTTGTTGGGGAAATTCGCTTATTCGACCCGTGACTGACACTAAATCGAGTCACTTGCAATTTATTCAGACCGTCACGACTTCGGTTGTCAATAAAATCGCAAGGATCAATTACTAGATCTGCGGGGCACGATCATTCGGTATAGGTTCAGGATCGTTCGTCAATTCATTTCGTGGTCCAACAGTATCACCCGCGATCCACTACTATGACAGTGGCGAACTGACCCCTGACTATCTTTAGATCGGCCAACAGTGGCTCAAAATATCACATCGACGATTTAATGGTCGAAAGTCAATCCACGATCGAATTTTATTTAGTCGTACGAATTTAATTTCCCCGATTAGCCTTTCCCTAATGGTTAGCATCCCAGGAATGATCAGTTCCGGGCGAGAACTAACTACGAGTACATTCATAAAACTCAGTATTTTACAAATCCCAAATGGACTATTTTTCAAGATGTCACAAATAAACTGCTTAGTGAGTAGTGCATCTCTTCTAAGCATAACGAAAATTCACTATGCACCTTTATAAAACAATATCATATCTCATCACTTCCAAATTCAAAATACAATATATGTAATTTATCAAAAGTAATGATATCTTTCCTTC